GCACCCAGGGGAGCCTGGAGCTCCCCTTGGCCGCTGCAGGGGGGCAGAGCAGGCCAGGAGGAGCCCTAGGCTGACCTGCTCCCTTCCAAAGCAAATTTGCTCCTAATGGGCGCACATTCAGATGTGTGTGGGGGTGCAATTCAGCATGCCTGAGTTTTCTGTGTAGAAAATTCAGGCACATTAATTGCATATGTAGATACACCCAGTGATACATTGTATATGGGGCCACTAATCTCCACCCAGAGGTGGCTGCATTTAGGGAACACTGCCTTAGAGACAGTGGGTGGGTGCTGTTTGGAGAGAGAGTCCCAAATAGAAACCTAAAAGACAAGATGACTGTGCACTACTCAAGCTAAGTATGCGTCTTTTCAAGTTTCAAAATTTTAGTAAAATTTTTCCAGAGCAAGAATTTGTTATGGACTTTTTCCCTAAATTTCCCCTCCAATTTTTCAACCAACTGTTCAAGCAAGTGGATATTTTAAATCAAGAACATTTTTTTTTTCCTTCGACAAAGGGTTTCCTGGTTATCATTTTTGGTTTTCGGAAAGCTTCTCATTCAGCCTAATTGACATGATGCACAACTTTCTCCAAGCACGAAAGACTGAGATGTGCTGCTGCAATGTCAGGTTATCCAAAATATTGTGTATCCTGCCATAGAGTTGCCCAGCTCTGTGGCTCTGCAGAGTCTCCTTCACAACCTTCCTCTCCTTCCCCACGGTTGCTGGAGGTAATATGCAGCCAGGGTCCCTAAACATGGACCTTTCATGGAGATCACACAACAGGAAGCAAGCCTGGCCTCTGATGTGCTGCAGCTAAAGATGAGGCTTATGTCCTCTACTTTTCTGCTGTCCTTTAAGTGTGCAATTTTGAAATGAAAACAACACTTTTATGACTTTTGGAAGCTCCTGTGACTCACACTAATAGCCAGGGCCTGGGTGGCCCTGTGGTTAGTTATGGAGCTTTTCCCCGGTAGGTCACAAGCTCTAACCAGAAGGTTCACGTGGACAGAAAGCCACTCCTCATCTGAAGACGGCCACTGACCTACATGAGACAGATTAATAATGTCTAGAAATCCTCCTCCACAAGAGACTCTCTTGACTCAGGGGAGAAGACAAAACCTAACTAGGGAGAGGAGACTGAAGTGATCTTTCACTTTGCGGTCTCCCTGGGTCGCAGATGAGTCACAGGAGGCGGCAGCGGTTTGCCCAGAGACACGGAAGAAACATTTAGGTAAAGCAGCCCCAGGGCTGAGACTGACAGTCATAAGGAGAGATGGTAAAGAGGGGTAAATGGCCTGGGCCCATTCTTCTGCTGAGCTAAGTGGTGGGTGAAACCATCACCCATTGCACTTTACCCCACTTGGGAGCAACGAAGATGCTGTCCCAAGGCTAAGGGATATCACTGAGTTCCCCATTTCGAGCCAGAGTCACACTGATAGCCTCAGATAAAAAATGGGTGAAGCCAACCTTCACCAGAGCTATGAAACAAGGAGCAATGGTTTCAAGTTGCAGCAAGGGAAGTTGAGGTTGGATATTAGGAAAAATGTTCTCACTAGGAGGGTGGTGAAGCACTGGAATGAGTTACCCAGAGCGGTGGTGAAGTCTCCATCCTTGGAGGTTTTGAAAACCCGGCTCGACAGAGCCTTGGCTGGGATGATGTAGTTGGGGCTGGTCCTGCTTTAAGCAGGCCGGTGGACTAGATGTGACCTCCTGTGGTCCCTTCACACCTGAATTTTCTATCTTCTGTGCTTGATGCTGTTAACCGGTCAGGAAGCCGGGGTGCTGCAGTGGATCCCAAAAGCTTTCTCCATACGCCTTACCACTGCTGTCACCATGAGCTGCAACTGGGCATTTCGGTTTGGAGTCCAGCCCATCAGAAACCTTACCCAACTTCTAGGCTACAAGCTTACCTGGATCCTCAAGAGTCAAACCAGAGCAACTCCATCTACTTTCAAGACCTACTGATTTATAGACAGGACGTTTCCAGAAGGCACCACTTCTAAGGTATCGTAGGCAACAATCAGTCACCATCACGATACTTATTTAGGGCCAGATTCTACCCTCTTTACTCACTGTCATCGCAAACTTGGTCCAAAAGACCAAGGGCACATCAAATGGGAAGTTACACCCGTAGGAGGTGGGATGAGTGAAGTAAACCTCTCTCATGACACCCAGCGACTTCCCTGCAGACACGCTTCCTTCGGCGTAAGAAAGCTGTTTCTCCATTTAGCTTGTGCCGCTATGGAAGTGTTGAAAGAAAAGGGGACTCCCCCGGTTTCCCCCCATAAGCACTTTTATTCTAAAATAGTAGCATGCCATGGGGAAGTTACAGTGGTAGAAACCGAGTGGTTTAACTACACAGGGAAAATGGTCTGCTACACAAACTGCCCTGACTCTTGCTAGACCCATCACCTGGGTTGGTTGGAGGCGGTTTGTGAAGGTTTGATCCAATAAATGTGCTGACTTCCCAGTTCACAATCTCACCTATTCCTACTACAAAGCTGTCAAGTGACTGATTCCTTTTTTTTTTTTCCGATATACTTATTGCAGATCAAATAAAGAACAAACTTCAAAGCCCTGCAGTTCGGTTCTACCCTTCAAGGACTTGCTTGAGTTCTTTTTAATTACAGCAGATGACACGTTCAACTCTGGCATTTTCTTTTTCTAGCAGCTATGGCTAATAGTTGGTGTAATTATATTTTTCACAGGACTTAATTATGTTAACCAATAAATACTGAAAAGTCTAATGAATGGAACAAGAGACAGTTTGCTCCGTATCAAAGCCATGCCTCCACTTTCCTCCTGCCCTGTTGTGGCTGGCTGTTATAGCAAATCCCCTTTAGAAGATCACCTTGCCGTTGCTAGACATAGCGGGGCAATCTGCATGGCTGGCCTCTCTAATTACAGGCAGAAACATCTCACCCAACTGCACGTGCAAGCTGTGAATTTATGTGCATAAATCAGGAGACAGGATCTCAGGGTCACCAACTATATGAACTGGAATACGCTGCATGGCTCCATTGAAACTAGGCTGTGCCATGAGATCCTAGCCAAATTTGAATCAGCGGAGGTAGCCAAGTATGTGCTTTTCTGATTTTTACCTTGGGGTACAAAGCCACACAAGCACACTGTCCTTTCTGATACTCCATATCTCAGATGAAAGACACAACCCACGACAAGCAAATCTCCATCTTGTCGCATCAACCCTATGACATGTTTAGTGAGGGCTCCAAAAGAGCCCGGAGAGGAGGAATGCAAACAAATATAAATGACTGAATGAATGCTATGATACTCATACCTGAACGCAACCCCAATTATGGGTAGCACCATAGTAACGGTTGACCTTTTATCTTAACTATTTTTCTCCCCCAGTGGAAGAGGACCAAATTCATGTCTACTTTAGTTTGTCCACAATTTTATACAGAGTTACTGATTCAGATTGCTTATAAGGAGCAGAAGCATGATGTTGTAGTTTTGCATAAGAGCTGTTTCTATGCAGCCATAAAGACAAAAAAAAAAAAGGCCAATCTTCATTTTTATTTTGAGGTTACTGCAGTGAGGTTATGCAAAAATCAAACAAAATAGAAGGCCAAGACACCACTAACTGATTTGCAAATGGGGTGGGAGGGAAGGGATTCGAAAGCACTGACATTTAGACTAACTCTGTCCCCAATGCATGAGTTTTAAAACACTCATCTACCCTGGTAGAAGCAAATTAAGGCCACACTGGGTACTTTTACAAATTTCATCCACACGGTACACTTTTGCCATCACTGCAGGCATGTGAAGCATTCTAGATATTGGGTAAACTGGTAAACCAGAACACAGGGTAGATTAGCACCTTACAGATTAACCAAAGTATGTAAGTACGGGTATGTGCATGTGTGTATGCACACATATATATGCATGCACATGTGTATATGCACAAATATATATGCATGCGTATGGGTATGTGCAAGTGTTTATGCACACATATATATGCATGCATATATGTGTGTGCATACACACATGCACATACCCGTACATACATAAACACATGTGTGTGTGCATGTTTGTGGGCTGAAGCTCACTTTAAACTTATGGGCCTAAGGAGATCATAATCAAATACTGACAAACACCATGCACAGGGCCCACAGGCTGCTTCACCTTTATCTTTGATTGACTTGGAAATTTTAATCCAATTCCAACATCACTTGAACATGCACACTGTAGAGACACAGCAGCACTGCATGTGTAGAGAGAGAAAGAGGGGCACACACACACATACACCCAGTTTTTTGTTTTACACCCACAGAGGATAGCATTATTATGAGAAGAGAGGAAAAAATATGTGTAACTACTTCAGCTGGTTTTGGACACTCCACCAAAATGCCATTAGACAGTCTCTTTTCCATGGGCTAAAAGGAAATCACAGCACGTAACATTCACACATCCGCCTCCTAGGTGCTCTCTGCATTTGAGTGATAAAAATCTACCCAACTCCCATCAGCCCTGCAGCCCAGATCTAGGCATGGAAGAGCAAGCGGGATCCCATCTTGCCTTATCAACCACAGTGACAGCTGAGCTATGATCCATGCATCTTCACTGGTAGCGACTAGGCCATGAAAGCAGAACGAGCACAGCTTGGTATTCAGATATCTGGATCAGGCTGCAATGGCGACAGATAACAGCGTAACGGCACTTGTAAAGGGAGCACGCTGTTCACCCAGCAGCTAGCACGGAAGGAAAAGCCTGGAGGACAAGATGCTATTTTTACAGTCACATTTCTATCACCTCAAACATGCCAAAACGTGTCTGCTCCAAAGCACCCTGGAGCAGGTCCCCTTTCAGAGTGCTGCCTTCCCTCTGGCGTGCATGCCGGGATGATCCCGAGATGCAAACGGGCAGGCTCCTTCCAGCAAGCACAAACCTATTTGCAGATGGCTCCAGAAATCGCCTCAAGCCAAATTTCTACTTGCTGTGTACAAAACACACCACGCAAGCACGGGGCTAGGCACGAACCTGTTGAACCCGAGGCTTGTACGGGGAGCTGCTCTCCAAGTCCGCCAGGATGCTGGTCAGAGAGTCGATCTCCGCATCTAAGCTGGAACGCCTTTCCTCCAGGGTCTTGCCGCCAGGATTTGCCTAGGAAAGGAAGGAGCAACATTTCAAGCCATGCAAACTACTCAGTCCAGCAGCTGGGTTTGGATTTTTGTCCCAGAGCATCGCCCCCATCCCCAGGTGGAAAGCCCCAAGTCCTACAATAGCAATCTGCCTTGTCTACTTGCCTGTAGCTCTTAAGAGGAGACTCTCACTCTTTACAGGCATGGACAGAGCTCAGCAAAATGGGGCCCTTAGCCAGGTGGATCCCATCATGTGAGCTAACAGCAGCAGAGCGCTCCCCTGATTGCAGCAGTAAGGTCTCCAAGAACTTGGCTCACCCCGTTCTGCTCCGATTGCCTTCCCTTCTCCCACAGCCGCTCCCTGCTCCCCGAGCCAAACCAATCCTCTCCCTTTGGCTCCGCGTCTCGTCCAGGTACATGGTATTTCAGAGTGTCATTCGAGGAGCAAATGGATCGCTGCGTGGTTTACAGAACTCCTCCACCATCAATCGTTGGCGTAAAAGGCAACTTGGCCAAACGCAGAGACCGCGCAAAGCAGTCAGGCTCTGCTCAGCCAAGCTCATCCATGCCGAGGCATTCATTAGCTCCTAACGATTATTAAACCTTATTGGATAATGATAAATTTGGGCAGCCTAACAAGGAAATGGACTTTCCAATAGGCTTTA